TGAGGATCATCAGTCACTATTGGACTGTACATAATGTCACCATAGTGATACATCCGTATAACTGTTTGTACAGAGATAGATACTGATAGAGCGATGATGTGTTTGAATATCAAGGAAAGAGAGAGGGGTTGAGAGAGAGAGAGAGAGAGAGAGACAGACAGACAGACAGAGAGAGGGGTTGAGAGAGAGAGAGAGAGAGAGAGAGAGATGGAGGGAGGGGTTAGAAAGATGGGAAGAGAAGGGAGACAGTGGAAAAATGAATGATAATTGTTCAGAATGAGGAAACAAGAAACCAGAAGGGAAAGGAAACGGTAGGAAACAGATTTGTGGAGGAAAATGGGATACTTTCAGAGATAGAAATTGTGTGTGTGAGAGAGAGAGAGGGAGAGAGTTACGATTAAGAAAGAGAGGGAGGGAGAGAGAGAGAGAAAAAGAGAGAGAGAGAGGGGGGAGAAGTAAGGAAGAAAAGGGAAATGAAGAAAGAAGAGGAATGGATAGATGGGGAGAACAGAAAGGAGACGGCGTGAAAAAAGAGTGGTTGGTGAAAAGGGGTTCATTTTCAGAGAGAGAAATTGAGAGAAAGGGAGATAAAAAGATGGAAAGAGAGAGAGAGAGAGAGAGAGAGAGAGAGGGGTGGAAGGGGGGGGGGGCGGTGGGTTGAATGGAAAAATGACGAAAGGAAAACAGAACAAAATAGAAAACCAGAGAATGACCTGAAAGAGGAAAACACAGTTATAATACACCAGATTAACCAATTACACACGAAAGTCAAAAGTTAAGCAGAAACTATAGTATAATCTCTAAGTCAGCTTATGAATAGCTCACAGAAGTAAATTGGGTTCTCTCATAACCTCATAGGATGAGATGTGATGTGATGTGAAATGATGTGAAATAAGGTGATGAGGTGATGAAATAGTTGTGGTGAATTAATGTGATGTTATGTGATATGAGATGGTTCGATTGGGTCATTTGATAAACTGTATAATTCATCTAAGATTAGGAAGGCACACAGTTTCAAACTGTCTCATATACATACGCCGGCTTAGGGATTATAATCTACACGCTAAGAAGTAAGAGTGCAATTGGGATTGCAGATTTGCATCCACCTACGCGTACATGGCAGAGGATGCAGCTATTGTAGCAGAACTGCGCCCTTATTTCTTAGTGTGTAGGTACAATAAAAACTGTGAACTGTGAGTATATTATATCATGTTACTATCGGTGAATCAGGATATTATGCAAGTATTAATCCTGACTTTGCAAAGTCAATGTTATTCTAACCCTACTTTATACAAATCAAATAACTCAAAAATGCAATCCTCCTCATTTCAATATTATGGTATAGCTACGGTCACAAAGGTTCGTACGAACGATAATTCGTACGAATCTCTCTGTCTTTCCATTGTCTTCCCGAATTTCCAATGTCTGAAAATCGTTCTTACAGCGTTTGTAGCAGTTCGTAATGACATTTGTGACAGAGGCTTATGATAAATCCTTACACAATATAACCTTAAACTATCCTTTTTTTCTCTCCTACAACACATCACAAGAGACGTACACGACACTAATATGAAGACTAATTGTGTTTTAGATTAGATATAATTTTTCAGTGAAGCCTCAATTGACATGCACAATTTTCATGATTATTGTAAGCGGATTGACACAGGCAGGTTATATGATAGCAACATAGTCACTGTAGCAGTACAAGGTCGTGTAATGGCAAAGCTAATGAATTCTTTATCAGAACAAATTAAACATGCACGGGCTTTTGGTTTGAGGTATAGATAAGGATGTATGGCTATGAATAATCACATTGCTAGTGCTTCAGATTACGTGTATATCAACATGTAAGCATCATTCATAAGGTTGTGAAAAGTATTAAATATTTATCTTGCTAGACTCAGAGAATGCGAGGCCCACAGACGATCATAATGTATTGAATATTGAGGTTATTGAAGCGTTCTCATTCGCTCTGTCTTCTTACGTTCCAATATCCCTTTCACGAACAGTAAAGAACTAAATTGCTCATACCCTTATCAAGTTTTGTAATCAATGAAATATTTGGAAAATCGATTTTTCCCGATTCAAGTTTCTTGAGAATGTGACACATGAAAGCTTACATCTACGAATATTCAACAAAGTCCCTTAGTCTTGAGGTTGAGAGAAAACAAAAATCTAATTTAAAAGAGGTTTTCATATCGCAAATCGTAAAAATAATGAAATTAGCTATCAGTTGCAAATTACGATTCTATACAGATATGTACAGTAGAAATGAAAGATTGGGTCACTAAAAGGGATCGTAATATAAGGATTGTAATTTACCTATGATTTTCCAAACTACGATTGCGTTAAAACAGTTCATCATAATTTACTAAAGGTTTTCGTTAATACGAAGGTTAATTAATCCGAAAATCCGCAATTTCTTAGGTTTGTTTATACCAAGGGTTTTAACTCCCAAACGTTCAACGTCCCAATAATGCAATTGCTTTCGTAATTCCTAAAATGTTAGCAAGGTTTATATTTCCAAAAACTAAATAGGGCCCATATTCCAAAAATCTGAATGGGAACAGGAAATATCTATATTTTCTAGAATGCAATTAACCATTTGTAACACTAAACCACTTTCACATTTTATCATGATAATAGTTGGACATTATATCTGCTCATTATTATCATAAAATAGGAATGAAAATTGTGATACGTCGATTGGTATAGCATATAAGTAGAGAAGAATGAAGGGGTTTAGGGCTCCATATTTGTATGATGGAGGAAGCTGGTATAAGCGACTAATCCGTCTCTACCTAACTCATCAGAGGTTATGAATTATTTAGACTGAAACTCTAGAGCCTTCAACGTGTGAAGACACGTGAATGTCACGGGCTCAAGATTGTCTAGTCTATTTGCAATGCCCTAGTGACTTTTACCATCTCATGTGAATACAGATCAATCTTATTCCATTCGAACTTTCTCGACAATACTGTATATATCTATTTATCTATCTATCAGGCTATAGTTCATCCAGACGTTGGACAAAGCCCTCCTCTAAACCTTTCCATTCTCTTTTGTCTCTAGCTATCCTAGTCCAAGCGGCCGTTCCCATGTATGATGTTAGGTCATCTCTCCATCTTCTCTTCTGCCTTCCTCTTCTTCTCTTTCCCATCCTTGGTTGCCATTCTGTTAAACGATTTGTCCATATATTGTCCTGTAGTCTTGCTACATGCCCAGCCCATCTCCACTTTGATTCTCTGACTTTCTCCATGATTTCTTAAACCTTTGTTTCCTGGCGTATGACTTTGTGATTGACTTTGTCTCGCAGTTAATTTCCTAATAGCTTATGTTTTGATTAATCAATGTTGATCCCGATAATTCAGAATGTTTGAATGTGTTTGCTAATAAACCAAGAATAAGAATAATTGATGTGTTCGTAAACCATCATTCATTTCAAGTTGGATATAATAGTAAACGCAGAATAAGAATTGGCTCTTCAAATACGATAGAACAGCAACTTAACATTTGTATCCGTCAAATATTTAGTTCCTGACGTATACTTATTTATGTTTTTGTAATAATACGACGTGTATCCTCTAAAGAATTTAACATTAAATAAAAGGCATGTCAGTTGTCTACGGAAAGGTCATTAAGAAATTTATTTTCCCAAAGTCAAATCTTGTTTGTCATCGCTTTGATTTCAATTAAAATCAGCTTGAATATACCAGGTGCACAAAAAAGAAACAAGGTCATATTTTCATTAATAAAATCTTAGTTGATATGAAAAACAACAGCATTATGATCAGCAAAACGTAATGTCCTGCGTGCGTGCAAGACAACCAGGGTCATATTGGGCTCATTACCCGCCCGATTCGAGAGACTTGAGGCAGAAATTGATAAGAATGAGTAAAATACACTACAATTATGTTTTACTCAAAAGGGTTGATTATTTCTACCGCCGTTCATATTACTCAATAATTCTACCCACTTACGTTCAGATGTCGTCATCAAAATCATGATAATGAGCATTATTAGTGTCCCTTTCAAAAAGCAGAGCAATGTGCGTTCGCATATTTAAACATTATTATGGGAATTTAAATTAGAATAGGATGTATAAAAAGGGATAGCTTATTTATACCAGTCTTGGTTAGAAAAGGAAAAAACATATAACCATCACGAATTGAATTTGTATACTTCTTTTGCCTAAATGCAATTATGTCTGACTACACAAGTGAAAAAATATACTCTGAATTTAATCATTAAAATTGACCTGTCAACCTCAATTGGCTTTTAATGATGACCCCTTTGGCTCTTCTAATTTTGTTGAATAAATTAATTAAATGTACCTTATATTTACCCTTGAAGTGTTTTTAGTAATATTGATATCGCATTAATAAACTGCCTTTGTCACATACATGTTCTGATTTGCCTTATAATTTTGCATCAATTTTAATGTTTGTATATTTTTGTAAACAGAATAATTGATAAAGACTGAAATCAAAATCAAATTTATCTGATGATAAAGATAAATGTTCTGATAAACGTTCTTGTAAGTTATTGTTTTACCTTGAATAGACTTGATTAGAAAAGTAAGTAAAGGTCTGAAATGATCACCCCAGTATGTGTCAGTATTCATCTCCTCTATAATAAAGGTCCTTATATGTTTATCGAAGTTTGTGCCCCCAAAACATGATGAAATAAAGATACTTTATGATTCAAAGTCAGTCATGGGTAAATGCCTGATCCCTCTGTATGTACCTTAATTTGGACTGCATGAAATGATTTAGTGTCCTGCCATTTTCAATCAGGGCTTGTGTTTTGATTTGTTTTAAGATGTGCTATTGATCTCTTGGTTTTCAGCTTCTCCTGTCTTTATGTTTTGTAAACAAGCTTTGCCAGCCTCATAAAGAATTAATAACAGTTTGTATATGTTTTAAAATAACAACAGAAATATAAAAATGAAATATTTATTAAAAACGATTCATAAAAACAACGCAAGTATGAATACCAACTACCCATGCCACCATTTACTTTATTAAAAAGCTTGCTTTTACAAATTTCTTGTTGCGCACGATTATACAAATGATATATACAGTAATTTTCTTAAGGTTAAAGCTTCGTATCAGCTGTATTAGAAATTAACAATGCAATCCAACATTGAAACGAGCTACAATACAGAGTGTCAATGAAAAAAAAGGTTTATAATCGTAAATTACTCATTTATCCCATTTGTTCCCACTTATATATATATATATATATATATATATACATCACTTAAAATCTTAAATCACTTTCTATCATATGACAATACAACTATGATCATTAAATCACATGTGGCTGATTTCGGAAGGTCTGAAGTGGCGATGTCAGAAAAAAAGTCAATGATAGTTGTTTTGAAAAGACGGATGATTCGGGAATACAAAACGAAACTCATATAAAGCTTGATATCCTCATCTTTCATTCGAATAATTAAAGGCTAGCCTAAAGATTTATGGTTGACACAGTAAACTAAAAAGGTATTTGTCTTGTAATTATTAATTCCGCCATATGACAATTTGTGTTTTTGTCTTGCATTTTTATTTCTATGTGTACGTTCCTGTGATGTTTATTACACGAGATTTCTTCCTTAATTCGTGTAAGTTATTATGTATAAGGCTTCGAGACAATAAAACTTTGACCACTGTATGATGGTGATTTTTTCATTTACTTATTAGTTTTCCTGTTTTGTGCACATTAACCAAAAACTATTCAAGATTATTGAGTAATTTAACGATAAACTTGAGTCTCCTTTTTCAGGGACACCCTGAACAATAAAGTTAATGCTTTAACAAAATCGGTACGTATGTAACCAAAATAATCTAGAATAAAGTACATTTTCTGAGTAAAATATGGTGATTTCAATTTCGACTACGATACTTGAAATTAAGAAGCACATGAATGTATACAGACAAGTTTATCATGGAGCAACAAGGTAACTTCAAGAACTGCATTTATCAGGCACCAACCGATCCACTGCATAGAGATTAAACATATTTCTAGTGCTGGGCTCCTTTTTCAAGTGTTGAAGAATGCTGGTTTTGGACTAGTTTTTCATTATTTGACAAAGGTTTTGAGCCACAAATTAGTATATTTTGTATCTCCTACGTTTTTTCATTATTTCTTCTTCACCTGACTATTTATCTATATATCACCCTAATTGGTTAATTTAACAGGACATCATAAAACTTGTACATTACCCTAACCCAAATTTCAAAACAATATTAAACTAACGACTTATGATTAAACCTATTGTTTCTTGGGAGGCCTTTAAGTTTCCTCTGCCTGCAAACGAACGTAGAGGACAGTAGCTCTATTGTGCAATCATGGACACGAACGTGCCCTGCTAATAACCATGTCTACTTAAAGACCCATTTTTTCACTACATATGTCCGTATAATGACGCTGTATATACATATACATTCAATTCAAGTCTTTATATTCAACCGTCATGAACAAAAATTACAAAGATAATATACAATATAATGGTTATGATCATTAGGAAGGAAGATATTGCTTGTAATCGGGGCCCTTTTAGAAACAAGAACATGAAAATGAACATAATTAATAACATGTAAAAATATTTGCATAATACAAGCACGCACATATACACCAACGTACCCAACACATATTTAAGATTTCGCAGAAAGGATATAAAGGACCGAAAAATAAGAAAGAATAAAATAAAAGTTGAAGGAAGAAGGGATAGAGAAGTACCTACTTATAAACCATCGATATCATTCTTTGGAAAATATTTGTTATGTACATGGATTTAAATTTGTTAATTGTAAAACTGAATCTTAGGCCATGATTCAATGAATTCAATGTATTTATATATACAAAAAGATACAAACACATATTTACATATTCAACAATATGTATTTTTCCAAATGATTTGCCAAAGCGTTTGTGTTTCCTTACATCTGTTTACAACATTGACTTTGATCGAGCTAAATCACACGGCATTTTACTAGTCAAAACTTGTCTGCCCCCAACGAAGGAATTAATAAATGAAGGAGGTTGGTTAATTTGTCTGTCAAGTGAATCTGTGTGTTGCCGAAGCCACTGGCCTGTCTCTGTGGTTTAGTGGTTAAGGCATTGTCGGTCACAGCCAGTGACCCGATTCGATTCCCGATGGAAACAGTTTTGACAACCTTTGCATGAATATCAAAAAAGAGGACAGCGATTTGGTAGCTTCAATTTGTTGCACTATATATACATTTATCATGTTATGACTAAAAATTACTAAAAAGAATTGAACAAAAATCATCGCACCATCATCATCTTATTATATATTTTTCAACAAATAAAAAAACCTTCTTTCTAAGGAATACACCACACAGTATCATTCCAGCAAAACATATTATATCACGAGTACTTTGATAAGCTACCATATATTAACGTAGATATATAATTTCGTCATTGAACTACAATAAAGATGATAACATATAACAAATTGAACAGCTAGTTCCTGAATATGTGGTGACGGAATATCGGTAAGTGCAAAATGGTCGGGGAAGGTTCAGCTGACGCCCAGCCCACCCCTCCTCTGCCTAGTATGCCAATATAAGATCATTCTATCTTAACGAGACCTTCTTGTGATTTACATGAATAAGATTTTGTTTAATCAGTGAGAATAAACGCATCTCTATAGTCAAAACCTCTACTGTGCCCGTGGCCGTTTGCAAAATCAGTTGTACCACTGGCATCTATGCCTTTGCTCTAAATTTCTTTGCTGAAGTTTGGTGAATCCATTGGAAGATTGACAGCAGCATCACTTGTTGAAGAAGCATCATCATCAATCCTTTCATTGTGGATGGTGCCATCCGCAGCATCCTCAGGAAGACCGACGACAGCATCATTGTTGGTGGTAGCAACATCATCGGTGCCCTCAGTAACGTTCCTGACATCAGTTGAATCTAGAGTAACACTGAGGGTGTCAGCATTCGTGTATGAGGAAACGTCATCGCCTCTCTTAGTGGCTTTTGTGACAGATGCATCAAGAGGGAGACTTACCGTCACGACATCAGTGCTTGTTGCATCGGTGGAATTTTGGATCTCTTTATTTATAGGTGGTGTGACCCCTTCTTCAACTTGGCTAACATCAAATGTCGGATTGAAGGTACACATAGGGTCTGGATTGTCGTCTTTGGTAGTCAACAAGTAACTACCCCTGGCTCCTGGGCGCAATTTGCTTATCATGCCAGCTGTCGAGGATAGCGCCGTCGAGCTAACCACACCGCTGGATGTGCTTGCTTCTCTCTTTAGGAACTTGTCGAAACAAGTTAGCCCCCATTTCTTACGGATGTGAGGCTTCCGGACGCAGTACAGTAGAAAGATGAAAAATCCTTGGAATGAGTTTAGGACGACAAAGATTGGCTGAGCCACCTGTTAAACGCAAATGTTTCAGAATTAATAATTAGGTATATGGCATCATGGACCTACTACGAATTTTCTTCAGATACTGAACATCTTAAGAGGTATTTTTGGTGTATGTTTATATCATAACTGAGTTCTCATAATATTTCTTAGAAGAGATAGACACCACACAGGAGTTATTTATGAAGCTAGTTGTCTTTACCTGACTGAATGACGGGATCAGAAGAAGATATCCGGTGACCCAGGTCAGACCGAGCAGAAGCAAGATGCAGATCGCGTTCTGGACGCGTACGATAGTCTCTCGGCGTTCTTCCTTAGCCTCCCTTTTCACCCGACCAGCGATGTTGGCTGACCGGATCAATTGTCGAACCACCAGGATGAAGATGACAATGTTGATGAGGAGAATGATGGACATGGGAATCAGGAGACCACCGATTTGAGCCCAGAATTGTAGAAAGCATCTGTTGATGGTAAATATGCATTTTGTAAAGTGACTGAAATAAATCACTCAATACTGGCTAGTTTAGCGATAGTTAAACGAAATGTCCATGGTCTTTCCAACATTTTAACAGAAGAACTTTCATTGTACAGTATTTCCCATTATTTATTTTGGCAAGTCCAAGCTTTGTTGTCCAATCCGTTACCAACAACATCTGAAATTTGAGTATGTGTGTTTACTGTATTCAATTGGTGGCCTTTCTAGAGCTTGGATCACACCACATGACCGCGAAAGTGATACTTAGATAGAAATTCGAGATCATCATTGCATACTTGCTATAAACTCATGAGATACCACAATAGCAAATGCCTATAATCTAGATTATATAACAGAAACATGATTTTTCTGAGTCTGAATTTGAAGATCATTAGGTACACCGTATTTTATGCAATCCAATATTCCAGCTAAATTTTTATGAAGTATTACCACTTACAGATCATCATGAGCATAAGAGTCTCTAGCAATAGCTCCGGTAAGAACCACGATGAAAGCAGGAATTCCTGAAATGAGATACGTGTATGAGAAAATGCATTTTGTAGTCACTCATAATATGCATATATTGGACAGGCCTGATAAAAAGCCGATTTTTTATATTTTTATCCGATTTTTTCCCGATTTTTTTCTTCTTCCCGATTTAAAATAAATAATTTTAAAAAAAAATAAATAAAAAAATAAAAAATCCTTTTTTTTTTTTACCAGATTTTTTTTTCTTCCCTGTTCTATCCTTATTTTCCAGATTCCCCCCTTATTTTCTCTATTCTTCCCCATTTTGCCCAATTTCCCCCCAATTTTCTTACTCGAAAGGGGGAATGTTGCTACAGCCATTTTTTCCCCGCGAATCCTCTTCTTTCTTTTTTTTACTGTAGGGAGCGTGGTTGAGGGGAAAACAAAAAACCTATTTTTTTTTTAGTGCTCACTATCACCCCTGATTGGACAATGGCCTATATTAATGCTTTCCTCGTTACTTTGTTATGCCTACTCATGTTCTCGTTCTACGTTCTATGTTCTAAGTTGTCCTGTCAAGCTCCAAACCGTTTTTTCCACGGTTATGGCGACACTATGATTATTTTTTTTAAAGAATTAGATATCTCGATTATTAAACTCTTGTTTGTACAAATCACATGCTACGCCGATTGCGGCGTAATAATAATAATGACGAATTACACATAAATGGCAAAAATGGCGAATTTATGTGCATTATTAGTTGATGCGTGTAGGACTATAGCTCGTCCTAATGTGATTTCCCCATAACTAATGTCCATTCAGTTAGTATGGCTAAGTGAATGTATTTTGCTAGCGTGTTGAACCTTTTTGCTCAATAAAAAAAAAAAGGAAAATTAAAATTTCGTTTGTTACATTAATATAAAAATAATTTCCTTTGATCGCCCATTTATCTTCATTTTGATTGCGGAAGGTTGATTGCAGGAATCAAAGCAGGTTGTTGCACCTTGTCAAACTCACTGCTTTATGGATACTTTCAGTACCTACAGGTATAAGTACAAACAAGTCGGGCGAAGGTTTCTGATCTAGAGACATTTATATGTATGTAAAAAAAACATACATACACTTCATGTTAATGGTACGCACTTTTCCAAGAAAAAAAATATTTAAGGAAACATATATCTTACCCCATGCAGCTAAGAAAGCCTTGATCATGAAATTCTGAATGTAGGTGTTAAAGATCTTCACAATGATGAGGTAGGTGTTGTACCCTTCCACACCCATCCATGCAATGGAGGACAACACGAAGTATTGAACTAGGGCCGTCAGGAACCCACAGGGTCCAGCTTGGACCTCACGAGAATCCAGAGAGATCATGATGACAAATGTCGTGTAGAGACACAGCAAGGTCAGGCACAGACAGATGAAGATCTGGTTAGTCTGTTTGGTCCTCAAATCCCTATCAAGATTGTTACATTAAAATTAGGTTAGAAAGGCGTCGAAGCAAAACTATACCATGCATATACAGAATTACCGTAACTTTATCAGCATTACAGAAGGATAGAAAGGTCACACAACGTAAACAACAAAGAACAAAAATAGGTGGTAAATGTGTGTGAAATGAAGGAGATTACTGGATTGTGCTCTACTTAAATATGTCTTCTATTACTGGGCACAAACCCTTCGAATGGCGACGCGTGTTGAATGAAATCATCCCGGCTGTAACTATTCACGGCGATGTCAAATGAGAAGAAAAAATACGCCAAAGGTGTTGAAAATGACTATGTTTCCTACTCTATACAGTGCGTCCCAGAAAAAACGAAACCGAGAAGTATCGATGTTGTATCATAACTTTATCACAACTATAATTAATGAATGATACATATTTGGAAAGCTTAGAGTCTCCTCTTTCATGTGATGCAACTCAGATAGTGCATATTTTACGCAGGAGTGATTAAAAGCAATTTAAAGGAAGGAAACCAAAAAGACATTTGGCGGGCGGTATCTGAATTTTGAAGAAAAATTCACATTTCTAAAAAGTAGAGTTTCTGCCCTTTCTTATGACACCTCAATCAGGAAAATTGAGCGAGGAATGACAAAGTTCTGTTTGTTTAAAGTAGTGCTTGCATTTCCATAATTTTATCAAACGAATTTGTTTTCACTGGCTGCCTGCCGTATCAATAAACGAAATTAACAAAAGACTTAACTCCGTTTCGTTGACAATCAGCCGTAGACGAGAGTCTTCATGTATGGCTGATTGTCAACGAAACGGAGTTAAGTCTTTTGTCAAATCTGCTTTTTGCTACGGCAGGCACCCAGTGAAAACGAATTCGTTTGTTAAAATTATGAAAATGTAAGGGCTAATTAAACAAACAGAACTTTGTTATTCCTGGCTCATTTTTCTTAATTGAGGTATCATATGACAGTGCAGAAAATGACCTTTCTAGAAATATGATTTTTTTTCTTTGAAATTCAGATACCGCCCGCCAAATTACTTTTTGGTTTCCTTCCTTCAAATTGCTTTTAATCACTCATGCGTAAAATATGCATCACGTGAGTAGCATCAACTGAAAGAGGAGATTCCAAGCTTTCCAAAAATGTATCATTCATTAATTATGGTTGTGATTAAGTTATGATAAAACATCGATACTTCTCGGTTTCGTTTATTCTGGGACGCACTGTACAAGCTGCACATCATGATGTCGGAGATTTGATCTATGAAGTTGATATAATATCTATTTACTATATTGATATGATTTAACAAATGAATATGTTGTAATCTATTTACTACCCTCGTCACCGGGCACAACCCTTACATCACTAAGCAACTAATCATATTATGGCTGTTTCTCTTTTTCTTCTTCTTCTGCCCCTCCTCCTCTCCGCCTCTTCCCCTTTCTATCACGAACTGTACATTGTTGGTAGTAGTTCGCATGCAGTTAACAGCTCTGCTGGTTTAAAAAGAAGTGATACCTAACAGAACTTTGCTGCAGGTTTACACGTATGTCATGATGGTGTAAATAATAGATAATTCAATACAAAAGGGGCATATTTCAATTTGCATGATTGTCTAATAAATTCTAAAACTGCATCTCTTTTATAGTCTATATAACCATTCTTTGTTCGAAAGCTTTTTTCCTTCAAATGAGCTCACCTGTTCCACAGGTAGGTTGCCAATGTGACAAGAAGACTGAAGATAGAAATAGAGCATCCGATGTAAGTCAGAATGTTGTATGCTTTGATTGATGGCTCCTGTCTATGGATATCCTGTAACATGAAAACAATTGAGCCAAACTAATATATCTTCTTCGAATGCTCAAATGAAACTGATTGTTTGAAATAATCTCTCCTAAACTCTCAGTGTGGTTAATTGAGAGCCGATAAATTCGGGGTTTATTTTAATAGAAAGGGGTGAAACTTCACATTACTAATGGAAAAGGGAAAAGGAAATCACTTTACTACCTTTCACATAAGAGTCCATAACTTCAAACTTTATTTGATCTCAAGAGAGAGATTAATATTTATACCCAATTGTAGACCAACTGTAAACTGTATTGTTATTTGGAAGTGAAATGGGAACTTCTAGAGGTTGGATGATGACCTCTCATCCACAAATAACTGGTAGTATATTTATCACCAGTCTGGAAAGAAACTACTGTAGTAGCCGTGTCCATTTTCATTACAGCTGGAATAAGATATACTGTGTCCCACTTTAAAGTACATAGACCATATTATTTAATCCGTAGGACCAACTAGACCCCTTTGTCATTATGAGGATAATAGCTCTAGTAACCTAGTGCGTTTAGTAAGTCGGGGTACAGTTGTCCGGGAAAATTGTCTGGGGAGTAATAGTAACTGCCTAATTGCTTTTCACTGACCATTATAACAGCGAAGTTGGTAAGGTGATCACACGCACAGCGAACGCCCTCTTCGTCATAGCGCTCATCAGATGATGCAAATCCAGAAACAAGAACACACCCATCCTCGGACCAATCTTCCTCCTTCTCATCCCAGAATGAACACTTGGGATTCACGTATCCAGACTATACAACAGCAAAAAAAAACAAAAAACAAAAGTAACAAAAAATAAGAAGGATAGATCCAGAGTTAATTTTGTTAGATAAAGCATGAAAGAAGAAGGATCAATAATTTAGATTGATACGTTTCTAAACCAATTTATGAGGAGAATCAAACACAGGAGTTTTAATAAACAAAAATGGCTTGAAATACATATAATGTTTAAGTTTTAACCAAAATATGAATGTCTTTGAATTTAATTTTCAATAAATACTGCTAAAGGCAGATTACAAGTAGGTATAATATATCGGGTAAAGCCCTTTTCTGCCATTTTATTGTTATATGTCTTACCTTTATTGTAGTGAAGGTGAAGTTGATGAATTCGGTCAAGGCTGCTACCTTCCCTTGACCAATACTGAGAGAAATCACGGGCGAGTTAGCCGATCGATTGAAGCCTTCATTGTCTACACTGATTGTGCGCAATGATTTAGAAATGAACAGGGCTGGAGTTGAAAATACATTGAAGTTGACCCGGACGTATTCACCACTTCCATTCGACGGCGATCCTGAGAGTGGGGCCGTGGACGAAATGACGGATGAAACTGAAGGTGGAATGCTGACTTGAGCGATGATGTCTGGTCTGGTAGCAATGACATCACCACGGTCAGCTTTGGTCGGAGCATTGATAGTAATATTGGACTTGGTCAGGTCTGAAAGACTCGATCCAGCTAGTGAAAGCACAAGACCACGGCTTACGTCATCAGCAGGTACACTCTGGACCTGTTATGTGAATTAAAACTTCAATATTTTATTTGACTTTATTTCGATTTGCCCACGGCTTTGTCCCACAGTACAATTATTCCCTTTAGATTTTTGCGCTCTCGAAACCCTGGATAACTTGTTCTTCAAGCTAAATATAAGTAGAGGAAGGGAACTATTGCTCAGGCATGGCTTTCTCTGTGGAATGCTCTCCCTCGAAATACTTGTAACAAAATGTTTTAATTTGAGTAGGTTTACTTTTAATCGTTCCCTATTTTATTTTTGTATGTATCTTATTTCAATTTTTTCTTTTGTGTATAATGCGGATGCTTTACGACGATTTCCTCTTTGCACGAGTGGGCCTTGCGCGATGCAAAGTAGATCCGGCACCTTACAACATTTTAATTATCATTATCATCAGCATTATAATTATTATTGCTGTTATCATTCACATCGTTATTATTACCATTATTACCATTATAATTTGTTATCATTATTGTTATTAGCTATGAATAGGAAATAAGGGAGGGAACCTTCGCTGTGGAATATCCCCCCTTGACAGATTCGTAGTAGCAGATGAGTTTAGGTATTAGCAAATAATCTACATACTCGTCTATTTGAATTGGCATATAAACATTTGTCCCTCTCGATGTTATAAGTTCAATCTTCTCAAGTTCTTTGTGGTTAATGCAGATTCTTTAATTTGAGCTCAATGCAAACAATTACATACATTTTAACATAGACTTTAGCTTGTAAATAATTGTATATGTTAGTATCCTAGTTAAAGTCAAATTATTTGTTCAAAGCCAAAATATAAACTAATATCACCTGTACGGCTATATTTGGCTGCTGAATGTTGAGCATCCCACCATCGGTAACCTCAACACGACTGATTTGTTCCTCAAAAGCCTGGACAAATTTACTTATTGCCCCACCTTCTTCCTCAGCGGCTTCAAGTACCTCTGCTTCTACCTCAGCTATATTGCTCGCAATATTGGCAATTGACTCTGTTACCTGTCAAATTAAACACAAAAGATGGAGATTATTTAAACTATAGTAGGGTAAGTTTTCCAAAACTCGGAAATCAAACTGGATGACGATAGTGTATAATATATAAGATGACAGCCTTAACAAAGCTGTTATTTTGAAGTTATTGCACCATTTCTGCAAGGAGCAACCGCCAAGGGGTCAGAAAGATATGAAAGGACAATGACATACTTTAACCTGAAATAGCACCAATAAACTATAATTAAAAATTTCCAAAAAAGCCAGATACAGGGTTAGGCTCTAGTAAATTATTCATTCACAGAAGTTTAGCTTCAAGGCTTTCAATATTGTTAAAACCGATTATGGGATTTACCTCTTTCACATATATGACAATGTTATTCATTCATCGGAGGGAAAACTCAAATCTTTTTCCCTTTCGATAATCATCGGAACATGATAAAATTAATCATCCATCGCAACTTGATGTTCAATATGATTAGTCTGGCATTTTGTAAAATACCTCTTCACCAGTAAGATTTTGCTGCACAATGTTTGATGTTATCTCTGCCACAAACGTGACGTCATCTGATGTGATATCTTCGATGTTGGAAGTAACAGATGATACTTGCTGGCTCACTTCGTCTGCGTTTTCTTCACTTACGATTACCTAAAGTTTGAGGGGAAGATATCTTACAGCATGTATATTTTAGGTGATCTGTTAAGGTTATACAAAATTTGCGAATATGTTACACTTATATTGCAATGTTACATGTTAGGGTCATTTTTCCGTAAACTACCTTTATTATAAAAGAAAAATAGTGTCATACCTAATTTCACAACTCATGAACTGGAAGATAACCACCTAAGGTTGTTAAAGGATTTTAGACAGACCAACATCTTATGAATGCAATCATTTGGTAATATTTTACTATTTCAACATATTTTCCAGATTTCAAAGCCTTAACAAACAGTTAAAAAAAATGAAGATACGTAGGCCTGTTGCAAGTGCTGTTATTTTAACACTGCCAATGAATATGTCAGTGAATTTGTTGCCACCTTGTCTAAAAGTTATCCAAAGCGATTGTGAATGGAATGACATTAAAACAATCAGTAGGATTGATGAACCGTGAGCTATTCAATACCCGTCAGCCATGATTTTATGGCTTACAAATGAAAAGTAGGAATACACTCTAAAAAGTCGATTAAAAAGGGAAGATCAATTTATATTGTGTAAAATTGTACACAATACTGGGTAAAAATAATAAACCAAATCGGGTAAAATCTACCAAATGATAAGTCGTTCTATATTTATCTGTTAACAAAAAAAAACTACCAATCCCTTTTTCGGGTTGTAAGGGTCAGTGGTACCTTCAATATACTAAACACAATTGCGTTACATACTATTTGGAGGTATTACAAAAATGATCAGATTAGTAAAGAAAATAAAACAAAACCTGGGCAATTTCGGTGAGTATATCTGTGACATTTCTAAATGGGCCGCAATTATCCACGGGTTGCCACTGGCTCTGGGTAATACCATCGCCGATACAGAGAGCCCGTCCAATGGGTTCATTGGCTGTTCGGTATTTAAACAAAAAATAAAATATCCATAAAACACTGACAAACAGTCATATGCAAAGAAAAGAGGAAACATAAATAAAGTATAGCAGTTCTGTCTATGATTGAGACTTTTCCAAATAATTCATGTCTCTGGAATATTCAACACATCCAACAACATTGGCGAATCTACAATTTTAATTTGGGTCGGAGGGCAAGAGGCTTGGGGTTCCTGCATTCAATATCCACGTGTGCCTCGCTCAAAATCAGTTTTGTTCAAGCAGTTTGGGGGCTTTAACATAATTAGAGAGGGGCTTTGAGCCTCCAATCCCCCATCTTGATTTGCTAGTCGGTTGACCATCATGATTTTTAGGCTGTTCTGTCAATAATATTGCCAATAAATGAGTCATTTTTCATTCGAATTTCAACAATGTGTAAACGGAATTTGCGTTTTATATAGATATATAGCTTCAATGTCGCTCATAACATTGAGCCTTTTTGCAAGCCTAAATGCCTGTTCAGATATGACGAGGCAAAACAGCGGTGGTTTTTGTTTTTAATGATGGCATCACGTGTTATACGCTTCACCTTTCTACATCTTTTGACACAGAGATAAGTTATTACGCCCAAGTCATTTGTTGCAAGCAGTTGCTATTCATCAAAACTTTACATTAAAAAGAAACCGTGGTGGCTTTTTTGCGGCGGTTTCTCGCGACATATCTGAACAAAATTTTAGGGAAATTATCATATTGGTCGTGCTTGACAACCTAATCTCCAGTCTACTTCCTCGAATTAAAATAAATTACAGAAAATGAAAACTAACCTTGAGTAGTGTTGAATGGACACATTCCTGTTGAATTTGCCCAAGTTCCGTTTTCACCCACCGGAAATTCGACTCTTTCAAACCGAGGAGAAATCCATGAGATATTCTGGCAAATAGCTTCACAAAAAGAAAGAATAACAAAGCATTTAAAAGAAGAAAGGCGTGATCGAAATTAAATTCAATGTTTGTTTGTTTATCTACAATAAAATGATTGCTGAGATTTGTGAAAATATTATTTTTCAAGGGGTGCCCAATGTTAAGGATGCTTAAACGTGCAGCGAGAAGGCAACTTGCCTAACTCGCCGAGGCACCATGATTAAAGCAAGACTCCTACTTAGCCGAGTTGGAGCCACGAGTTTTGGCGACCTGGCGCGATCTTATGGCAAGCAGTTTTATCATTAAAACATATTTCTCGATATCACGAAATCAAATTCTTGATATATCGAATTCATTACTTGATATAAAGAATTACCATTGCTTTACAACGTGAAATTATTTCTTAATATCAAGAAATATGTTTTAATGATAAAACGGCTTGCCATAAGATCGCGCCAGCTCGCCACAACTCGAGGCTCCAACTCGGCTAAGTGGGAGCCCTGCTTTAGAATTGTCGCCTTCTCGACTTAAACAATGTGCCTTAGCTAGTTTTAGCTACTAGCCTTCGTGTCTTCTCGTATTAAGCATGGGGACTTGGCGTCTTTAAGCACTCGCCCTCTCGCCTTCTTGGCCATAAAAGTCGCACGTTTCTGCACGTTGAGGATTCCGTTCAATACAGAGAATTTGATAATTATAAACAAGAATGATACTTTGTTACCTCCCCCGTTTCTTTCTTAACTGAATTCAATGCAGAGACACTGAATGAAGGAGTGCTTTATCAGATAAAACTATTAATGACCCGTTTGTACACACGCACATGTATGTGTAATAAATCTTGCGTTTCAAATTATCTAGCGTACCAATGCCAGACGACCCGCTTCGTGGCGTATCCAGTATAGCAGCTGCTCTACCCCCTCTATTTTAAAGGTCCATGCAAAATAAATGCTTGCAATGAGTAATAACACAAATGCAAACAAAATACGTTATGACCCCTGGTTTTTCGCGTCCCCAACCCGCCATCTCTCTATCACACGTCCTTAAAAACATACTAAATATATATGACTGAACTCGATACCGTTATCTTGAACTGAAATGGTGTTGGAATCGAGAAAACCATTCGATTCATTGGCTAGACTCTCAAGGGAAAGACCGATAAGATCTTGTGTCTCCAGTGCCGTCATATTGGTCCGCTCGATGTAGATATTCATGTCAGCTTTGACGCTTCCTGGTCTAAGGGCTCTGCATACTACTGATAGGCTCTCCAATCCAGTACTAGTTCGGAGGCCGTGCGCCACCTTTACACAGGTAAAAAAAAACAAAAACAGAAAAGGTAAAACGTATATTAGATATTTCCCTTTTTAAGACTCATATCCTCCTGTAACTTCTTAAAGTATACGTCATAACCGAAAACCCACTGTATGTAAAGTAAGTTAAACTTATGGTAAAACTAGATGTGTCTCGCGCATCTCTGACCAAATTACATGAATGTAGTTTAAAGAAGCATTACTGAGTCATGTTTGGTTGAAACTACGAACAATGTTTTCAAAGTTGCTAGTCATGCATGAGTGGGAGAAGCTCAAAATGTTCATGCTACATGCATGTGCTATCAGCCTTTTCCAATTCTGCTAGGAAACTTTTTTCAAAGTTTACTTGCATTCTAGAAATTGTACGGTTTAAACCCAAAACAATATTAGGCATTGCCTTGCAGAATATCACAAGAATGGGATAGGTCTCACAGATATGCACCAAATAATTTTAGAATATACTTACATAGGTGCTGATGTTGAACGCTGTGTCTGTAAAGAGTTTGGAAGTTTTGTCATGAAGCTGGTCGCGGAATGAAATTGCAAATCTAGCATTCAAAACTTGAATATTTGTCAGATCTGAAATGCAAACATACTTTTTACTTTTTACATAATGTACCTGGTAAAATCATGTTTGATTTGTGTTAAGTCATAGTATGTCTCTATTGTGATCGTAATATCGGTATAAATGTCACATTTTCACGTAAAGCATAAGAAAATGTATATATTAAAAACATAATTGCATGAACAAAAATGCATTTTGTATTATATATATATATAAATTAAGTTGCTTTTTTCATCCGAAGTTTCATAAAGACAAATTCTGCTAACGTTGATCTGAAATAAAATCAACATATATTAATTTTGAATTAATAATTCATTCATTCTTTGCAAAGTTTGGGATAAATGCAAATTTACTCAGGCATATAATACTTTGGTTTAATACTTAGAATATGTCAGTCTTTAATAACGTAGGCCTGCTAGATTTATTTATCTCGCATAAAACTTTTCGCAATCACCAGGATATTCCACGCGTTTCAAGGGCAGACATGAAAGCATGATTAATGATACAGGTCGCCTTGATTATAGGCTAGACACAATCCCTAAGTTTTGTTATTTGTCTATGGTTGGCCTAATTTAAAGTCTTTACCTTTGACATATACAGATGCTCGCATCGTGTCTAAAGTTTCTCCATTTCTCCCTGAGCCTCGACAAAAGTAATACCCGATGTCACTGGGCGCGACAGACAGGATTATCAAAGGATTCTGATTTTCTCTGTTGGGCAAAAGGACATCATCTTTGTACCAGTGGTATCGCTTGGCATTGTTGAAACCACATGTCAGCTCCACGTTGGCACTGATGTTGACTATCTGGCTTGACGGATGCACAGAAATCTCTAAAGGGACTGTATTCCAGGGAGGAATAAGAAAATGACGGCGAATGAGGTTATCATTATCAATAATGATGATGAAAATCATGACAATAGTAATGATAAAAATAATATCAATACTAACATCAATGATAAGGAGAAGAAGGAGAAGAAGAGGAATGAAAATAACAATAACAAAACAATACAAATAATTATGATAACAATAATATTAATAATAATAACAATAATTATATTGATAATATTCATAAACATAATAATTAATACTAATATCCTACAACTACTACTACTACTACTACAACTACTAATACTACTTTATCTGCTACTCATTATAATAAAATAGTAATAAGGATAATAACAGCAGCTAAATTCATATATACGTAAGTACCGGGGGATGCTCAAGGCACCAACAAAAACAACATTGACATTTTATTTCATATCCATAGATGATGAAAAGACATTTGATTTACTTATTCAGAAATGGAAAGGTGGTTCATCATTTCTGGGATAAAACATTTAATCAAATCACTTTCCAAATTTTAGTTCCACTTCACCCGTTTTACGAAACGATGTGAATCATGGATTTGCACAACGTTATATAATATTTCAAAGACATAAGTAAATCCAAACGTATGACTTACGAGTCGATTCTTCACAATGGATCCCCTCATAATGATCTTGGCATTCACACTCGTACTGTCCTTGTCCGATTGGACTGCAGACACCATTGGCACACAGGTCTTGTTGGGTGCAAGGATCGGTGTTATCTGTCAAAATTTAGTTTAGATTAATTTGTAGTAGCATGAAACTTACCACTGAATATTTGCAGGTTTTCAATATCCCGAAGGCTCGTATTTCCATAAACGAAACAGGGTTCTATCACATGTTCGGACTTATGAACCCTCAGAAATATGAACCATGTTAATTTTTTGGAGTTATGAACCCTATTTTATTTTCGTAATTGTTCACCCTGTTCATTACCAGAGTTTTGAACCTTCGGGGAAATGGTATGTAACCAAAATACCAACGCATTTCGCTGGCTCCCACAGTAAGATGTGACGTCGTTCAAAATCTGCAGAGCTGTAGAGCTGCTAAATCTAATTTAAAAAAAGCTTACATTTGAAAGAAACAGAATGATAATGATAATAGGAAAATGTGACATATGAACTATTAGCCTCAAGATTAAGATTTTCGTGTTTGTTTGCGAATTACATATGTATATATACATACATGACCGTTACATACATACATACACAATTTATACACATCAGTATTCGTGTCTGCGTACTTGGGGAAATGCTTCCTAAATCCCAATTCGCTTTACCTGTAACGCTTACCTATTTCACAGTTCTGGCCGATGAATGGACCCGAGCAAATACACTGGTAACCGATTTCAGTTAGCTGACAAGTACCTCCATTTAGACAGGGTGTTGCGAGACATTCGTTTTCTGAACACAGACAAGGGAACAATGTAATGAGTGGGAAATGGAAATCAAATTGTGGGTATAGTTCTAGAGCTCCACGTGGTCGTCCATTGTATTTGAATTCAAAGTTAAGCAATAGACATATTGTATCTTTGTAAAATATAAACCCTGTTATTTTTTGGAATTATGAACCCTATTTTATTTTCGGAATTACGAACGCTCTTTCATTTTTTTGAATGACGAATCCTATATAATTTTCAGAATTATTCACCCTTTTCATTATCTGAGTTTTGTACCTTCTGTAAAATGCTATATAACCAAAATACCAACGCATTTCGCTGGCTCCCCCTTGCCCCCACAGTGAGATGTGACGTCATCAAAAGTCTGTAGAGCTGCTTATCAAGCTTACATTTGAAGAAAAAAAATAGAACGATAATAACAATAGGAAAATGTGACATATCAACCATTAGCCTCAAGTTTCAGATTGTCGTGTTTCTTTGTGAATTACATAATATCCATACATGAGCCTTACATATATATATACACAATTTGTACATATCAGTATGCATGTCTCTTTATTGTGTAAAAAGCTTCCTAAATCCCAATTCGCATTACATGTAACGCTTACCTATGTCACAGTTCTGCCCGATGAATTGATCAATGCATTCACATCGGTAACCGATGTCAGTTATCCGACAAGTACCACCATTTAGACAGGGTGTTGCGAGACATTCGTTTTCTGAACACAAACAAGGGAACAATGTAATGAGTGGGAAATGGAAATAAAATTGTGGGTATAATTCTAAAGCTTCACGTGGTCGTCCATTCTATTTGAATTTAAAGTTGAGCAATAGACATAATGTATCTTTGTAAAAAAATAAACCCTGTTAATTTTGTTGAATTATGAACCCTATTTTATTTTAGGAATTACGAACCCTGTTTCATTTGTTTGAATGACGAATCCTATATAACTTTCAGAATTATTCACCCTTTTCATTATCAGAGTTTTAAATCTTCGGGAAAATGCTATATAACAAAAATACCAACGCATTTCGCTGGCTCCCCCTTGCCCCCACAGTGAGATGTGACGTCATCAAAAGTCTGTAGAGCTGTAGAGTTGCTCATCAAGCTTACATTTGAACAAAATAGAACGATAATAACAATAGGAACATGTGACATATCAACTATTAGCCTCAAGTTTCGGATTGCCGTGTTTCTTTGTGAATAACATATGTATATATCCATACATGAGCATTACATATACACTGTTCGTCATAATGGTGGAATAATTATTTTTACCCCATTTTATTGAATGATTTTGACAATGATCTATTCCTAATAGATCTAGATAATAGTATACATTCTCAGATTTTATTGAATGACAAAATTGGGGAGTGTTTGTTTTGCGTGACTGCTAAAGCATGTGTGTGCTAGTATGCTAATCAACTAGGGGACCTACGTCCTTAAGTCTTAACTGACAGTAATGGGGATTAATACCTCATAAAAGGGCAATAATATAGCACATCCACACGGTTTTGATCCTGGGGGCTCACCGTAACGAGGCCATTGCTTAGCCAATGAATCATGACTGTACACAGCGGGCGCTAGGGTACGTCGACGCCCCCAAAAAACAGAAAAACAAAGAAAATGCCATAAATTTTGAATAATTCATTGCATTTTGCCCCGACCCCCAACATAAAAAAAAAATCTTCTATGTGGGCATGCCTTGAACCATAATACATGGCCATACGGAGGAATTTTTCCTGTTGGGGACTGGGGGAAAATGCAATGAATTATTGAAAATTGATTGTATTTTCTTTGTTTTTGTGTTTGTGTGGGGGAGTAGGTCCCGAAGGTCCCGAAGGTCCCCTAGTTGATTAGCATACTAGCACACACATGCTTTAGCACTCACGCAAAACAAACACTCCCCAATTGCCATTCAATAAAATCTGAGAATGTATACTATTATCTAGATTTATTAGGAATAAATTATTGTCAAACATCATTCAATAAATTGGGGTAAAAAATAATTATTCCAACATTATGACCAACAGTGTATACAAACAATTTTTTACATATCAGTATACGTGTCTCTTTATTGTGAAAAAAGCTTCCTAAATCCCAATTCGCTTTACATGTACCGCTTACCTATGTCACAGTTCTTCCCGATGAAT